CTTTGTCAGATTCATAACATGTAAATATCTTCTCCCTTTCCAAAGGCTATCTGTTTGCTTCAGTTGTAATAACCTTAGCTGTGCAGAAGCTGTTTAGCATAACCATGTCCCATTTATTTATTTTTTGGTATTGCTGCTATTGCCGGGGGGGGGGGGTCTTTCCCATAAGATCTTTTCCTAGGCCAATTTTGTCAAGTGTTTTCCCCACACTCTTATCTAGAATTTTTATTGATTTGTGTCTTACATTTAAATCTTTTATCCAGTGAGAATCAATTATTGTCAATAGTGAGAGATGTGGGTCCAGTTTCAGTCTTCTACATGTGGCTAACAAGTTCTCCAAGCACCACTTATTAAATAGGAATTCTTTTCCCCAGTACATGCTTTTGTTTGGTTTATCAAAGATCCAATGGCGATATAAGGCTGGGGTCATCTCTAGGTTCTTTATTTTATCTCATAGATCTGTATCTCTATTTTTGTGCCAATATCATGCTGTTTTGATCACTACAGACCTGGAGTATAACTCTGAAGTCTGATAATGCGATGCCTCCAGATTTTTTTTTATTTCTAAAAACTGTATTGACTATTCAGTGTTTTTTCTTGTTTCATATGAAGCAAAGTATTATTTTTTCAAGTTTTTCAAAGTGTGATGTTGGTGCTTTGATAGGAACTGCATTAAATCTGTAGATCACTTTGGGTAGTATGGACATTTTAACAATGTTGGTTTTTCCCAGACATGAGCATGGTATGTTTTTCCATTTCTTGATGTCTTCTGCAATTTCTTCTCTCAGAGTTATTTAGAGAGATCCTTTACACCCTTTCTTAGATATATTCTCAGGTATTTCATCTTCTTTGAAGCTATTGTAAAAGGGATTGTGTCTATGATTTTATTCTCGGCTTGACTGTTATTGGTCTATATGAAGGCTATTGATTTATGGATATTGATTTTGTATACTAAGAAGTTACTATATATTCCTTGATCACTTCTAAGAGCTTTGTAATTGAATCCTTGTAGTTGAAACCTGGGGTTTTCCAGGTATACGATCATGTCATCTGCAAAGAGCGAGAATTTGACCTCCTCTGTCCTCTTTGAATACCCTTGATCTCCTTTCCTTACTTTATTGTAATGACTAGGATTTAGAGGACTGTGCTAAATAGCAGTGGGCATCATTGTCTAGTTCCAGATCTGAGTGGAAATGTTTTCAGTTTACTTCATTCATTATGATATTGGCTGTGGGTTTGTTGTAGATGTCCTCTATCAGTTTAAGAAATGTCCCACCTAAGCCTATTAAGTGTTCTTGTCAAAAAAGAATGCTAGATGTTGTCAGAAGCCTTTTCTGCATCAATTGGGAGAATCAAGTGGTCTTTGTTTTTGACTTTATTTATGTGGTGCATTACATTTATGAAATTATGTATGTTGAACCAAACCTGCATCTGTGGGATAAAGCCCACTTGATTATGATGTATAATTTTTTAATGTGTTGCTGTTTAATGTTTGCTAGGATCTTATTGAATTTTTTTGTATCAGTATTTATTAATGATATTGGCTTAGAGTTTTCCTTTTTTGTTTGGTCCTTTCCTGATTTACAAATCAGGGTGCTATTTGCTTCATAGAACATGCTGGGGAGGGTTCCTTCCTTCTCTATGTTTTGGAATAGGTGATGCAATGTAGGTACTAGTTCCTCGTTGAAGCTTTGGTAGAATTCTGGTATGAACCATCTGGTCCAGGGCTTTTTTTTTGGGGGGGGGGTAGGTTTTATTTTGTTGATGCACTTTCAGTACTTGATATAGGTCTATTCAAAACTCCTAATTCTTTTGGGTTAAGTTTAGGAAGGTGGTGTGACTCCAGATGTTTGTCCATTTCCTCTATAATTTCCGATTTTTAGGCTCAGGACTGCAGAGGGAGAATTTTTTCACTTTTTATCTGGCAGGATGGGGACTCAGAGGTAAAAATTCCCAGGTGTAGGAGAACTAGAACCTCACAGCTTTCTCCTTTGTTCCTTGCTCACTTGAGGAAAGCCCATGGTGAGCCTCCCAGTTGGGGGAGAGGGTCTCTCGTCCATCCCCTTTCGTACTAGGCACCTTCAGTATAGTCACTCCATACCTGATCTCTGTTGTCTTTCTTCCTCTTCCTTGTCCTCACAGCCTGTCTCAGTGGGGATGCTGTGCACCTGGAGTTTTTCTCCTTGTGCTCAACTCCCCAATTTTGACTTCTCTGAGTACGCTTTAGTCCAGTTTTTCTCCTACTGGAGCTTCTGATGAACGCTGCTTCTAGTTGTACCTCTTGCCCCAATAGCTTACCTCCTTCGTCATTAACATGGATTGGATTTTTCATGTTAATTCATATAAATCTAACTAATACTATTAATCTACATATAATTCCATGGAATAAATATGCCCCAGTTTATCCATTTCCCCTATATATACTGTCCATTCTATTTACATAAATACAGAGAATGAAATAAACATTTGCAAACTGGTGCCCTTGTGCACAAGTGTTGTTCTAGGGTAGATAAGAAACAGGAAGTTGCTAAGGCCGAGTTAGGATACATATGTATTGAGTATTAATAGAAACTGCCAAATTGCCCTACAGTGTGCCTGTGCCAATCCATACCCTTACTTCATTCCAAAACACTCTAGAAGGCTAAGTCCTTTCCTGGATCCCTTCCCAAAGCAACTTGGAGTTCCTTTAATTCACACCTAGCCAGTACTTTATATTATCAGTATTTTAAATTTTTTCCAGTCTCAGGGCTGAAATCAATTGACTGCTGTGTTTTCTCATCTATGAGTTGTCTGTCATGTCCTTTGCCAGTTTTTCTATTGGGTCTTCTCTTATTGAGTGGTAGGACACCTCCTTTAATATTATACTACTTGGGAAAATAAACTGTTGAATATCCAGTGGAATACTTGCATATTTTAAAAATTAACTTACCAGCTAATCATAAGAATGAGCTCATATTTTAGTGTTTACTAATTTTGGGTGCATGTGTGCTATGTTGCTAACAGAACTGAGGGTGATGACAATAAAGTTCTTATTTTCCCTTTGGTCTAATGGGAGGGGGGCAAAAGGGACTTCCCATTGTTTTTACTATCTGTAAAATGTTTCTACTGTGGTAATGTAAGAAGATTGACTTCAGAGAAGGCTGCAGGCTGGTCAGCAGCCTTTTGTCACAAGAGCCGATTATGAAAAATCCAGGAAGTACATGGTTTTACTGACCTTCTGGGTGACCCCTAGGGCTCATGCCCACGTTCTCCTACAGGGAATACCTCTCTATAGGGTTCCTTGGAGAAAACAATGAGCAGGAACCCCAGACCCAAAGAGGAGCAGGGTGTGGACCTCACAATCGGAGCCTACTTTTCACTCCAACAGTTTTGGGATGGAGTTTAGGGGATGGTTTAGAACAATCACAGATACTCACTTAAACTGATGAGCTTGAATGGCCTTAATTTTCACAGATAGAAAACGTTTCACAGGTTATCAGAGTCAGAAATAATCTTACAAGAGCTTGTCTAGTGGTTCTGAAATACTGAGTGAGTGGTCAGCTACATCAAAATGACCTTGAGTACTTAATCTAAGTGCATATCCACAGGCCCTGTCATCAGAGTCAGACTCAGCTTTAGGCATTAAAGTATTTTTTACAAGCTCCCCAGTGTTGGGGAACACAGAGGCTTCACTTTAGAAATGGTGAGACATTTCATCACACACAGCTAACATGATAAACTCATGCCTTCATCCTTTTTGTGGGTCACAGCTGCAGTCTAGATTATTCCTTTGGCCCCTTCTAGCTCTAACATTAAAAAAAGGAATACATTCTTTTAAGTAAAACATACCAGGCACAGAAAGGCAAATACTGTATGATTTCACCATTAGGTGGAATCTCAAAAATTTGACCCCATAAGAACACAGTAGAAGGACGATTACCAGAGGCTGGGGGAGTGGGGGAGGAATGGGGAAAGGGAAGATGTTACAAAGTTTCAGTTAAACCAAAGGACTAAGTTTTAGTGATATATTGCACTGCATGGTGACCACAGTTAATAATAATGTATTGCATATCTCAAAATTCCTGCAAGGACAGATTTTGAATGTTCTTACAAAAAAATCAATAAGTTGGGGAGGTGATGGATATGTTAATCATCTTTATCTTCCTATAATGTATGCATAAATTGAAATATCATACTATATCCATAAATACACACAATTATTTGTCCATTAAAAAGTAATAATCCACAAACTGTGCCTAACTTTGTATTATTTCACAATGAGAAAATGGTCCAGAGCAGGTATTCTCTAATTCCAGTCCTGAAAGAAGAGAAAGACAATGGAATATAGATTTTTAGCTTACCTCCCTGTCATTGCACTCTATGGATTGGGCGTCCCATTGGAGGTCTTTGAGTCAGTGGTGCACAATACACATTTACTGAGAAAGCATGTAGAGTGCTGCTTTTGGAGCACCTATTTGACCTAGTGGAACTAGGTTACAGAGTCAGGATTTTTCATTTGAGAGTTTCTTTGTTATTGAATGTTATTAGAGATCAGGGTGTTTAAATCAGACAAAAGGCCTAGCTCTGAAGATGAGGTTAGAGACTCAAGACTCAATCAGACAAAAGGCCTAGCTATGAAGATGAGGTTAGAGACTCAACTGTCTCCACTTGGGGATAAAAGCAGGTGGAGTTAAAAATTTAGTGGTACTGAAAGACACATCAAGATTTATGCTAAAGAAACAAACAGACATCAAGGGCAGGTGTGGTGGCATGGGCCTGTAGTCTCAACTACTCAAGAGGCTGAGGCAGGAGAATCACGTGAGCCCAGGAGTTTGAGGTTGCTGGGAACTATGATGACACCATTGTATTCTAACCTGTGGAACAGAGTGAGACTCTGTCTCAAAAACTTTGACTCTCCTCATCTTCCTGGAAGCATTTATCTGTATTTGCACAAGAACTGTGTAACATATTTGAGAGATCTTAGAACTGCATGCTCTAGATGTCTCATTTTTTCCTTACAGCACCAGCTGCATCAGAGGATATTGTGACTGGGTTTTTGGGTCAGCCGGTGACTTTGCCCTGTTTGTACTCATCCTGGTCTCAGAGCAGAAACAGCATGTGCTGGGGCAAAGGCCAGTGTCCCAACTCAAAATGCAATGAGGAGCTTATCCACACTGATGGAACAAGAGTGATCTCAAGTAAATCAGCAAAATATGGACTTCAGGGGACTATCTGGAGAGGCAATGTCTCTTTGACCATCTCAAACCTTAATGAAGGTGACAGTGGTATGTACTGCTGCCGTATCGAGGTGCCTGGCTGGTTCAATGATGTAAAGATGAACATTCGCCTGCAGCTGCAGAGAGGTGAGCACATGAAGAGGGGCTCATTTCTGTGGAAGAAAAGAGTCAATGGGTAATGACTCAGTGGGTGGTGATGAAGAAGTTGTAGTTTACTGAAACAGTAAGTGAGTGGGAAGAATGAAGCTGAGATGAGGAGCCTGAATATGGACTAGACAGGTAAACTCAAATGCCCATGGGAGCCAAAAAAAGCCACAGAATTAAATGAGTAGATTGAGGGAAGGGAACCAGTGAATTTCAGAGTAAATCTGAAAAAGGCACCTGTGCTTATCTAGGGGCTATTTGGCCTGCCAAACTTTGGGCCCAGTGTTTTCAATTCTCTTAATTTTTATGTGAACTATGTTTGAAAGGATGACGTTGATAATAATCATCTAACATTAAAAAAGACAGAAACCACTGCACACAACACTCCTTTGTTTGCTTAACCACCTGTGTCTTAACTTGTTTTCCTTAAGAGTTTTATTTACAGAACTTGAAAAGGACTGAGCAGACAGAAAAGGGCATGTAGCCTTCCTCCACATTTGACAGACCACATTCAGATAAAGGCAGCCTAGCAGAGAAGAGAAAAGACCAACCACCTCCTGTCATCATTTTGTAACAGTAACTACCCTTTATAAAAAGGTAGTCTAATAAAAATCCCAAGCCAATCATCCTTGGGGCTGGTATCCTTTCTTTTTTCTAGGCTCTGCCCTTTTCTCCCTTGGGAGGTAAAAGAAGCTTCTTGCTTCAAAACACTCTTAATCTTTGAGTCAAGAATTCTTTCTCAGCCCATGGTATGAGCTCCCTCTTCTGTAACAATATTGGTTTTTTTGAAGTTAGTAGATTTTTAAGTGATAAAAAAACACCATGTAAACTAAATACAATGTGTCCATAGATCGACTTCATCCTGTAAACCAATAGTTTGCCACTTCTGGCAGAGAAAGCGCTTGGGATTTAGGGACGGTCGCATCAGTTTTCAGGTCCTTTTTCCTTTTGTTACCATCAGTTGTTTTTGATGAAATTTGGAATGTGGTGGGACTCCTAAAGATCTGGGCTGCGTTGAGCCTGTGGTTGAATAATGCTAACAGTAATCAAGTTTAGTGCTTGTTTGGAATGGAGCTTCTCAAACAGAGCTCTGTACTCCACTGTATCCATTTCACCTGGAGGATTTTTTTTGGGGGGGGGCGGCTCTATTACTAATTATATTAGCACTTTGGAAGGGAGAGACTGGGTAGTAATATTCTTAGATTTCTTACGTGACTAGAATTTGAGAACGGCGGATGTGGATGCTTCTAATTAGAGAACTTGCACACATCAGTACATTTTTTTTCTTTAAGCAACTTTGTGAGATACGAAGTTTTGTTTCAATTTTGCTGAAGAAGGAAATGAGGTTTATTGAAGTTAAATAACTCTAACCCACATCTTCTTTTCTAAAGTCTGGAATAACAAGGTATTATTTTACAAAATATTATAAATTGTTGACCTTAGTGGTCTACAGGGTCATTTCCAAGTCCATCTGGCACAAGTGGTGTCTTTCTGGCCCATTTCAGTCAGTGGAAATTTGGCATTTCAAGAGAGTGTGATATTTACAGAATAAACTGTGGCTAATGAAGCCAGTTTCAGATGTGCAGAAGGTGAGTGGTGTTGGTATGAACCGATCTTTAACATCTAAAAGATATTACATGCTCACCCTAAGTTTCATGCTTTGGGCTCACTTTTGATGCCGTCATTAATTTACATACAAATTTATGCAACGTTTTTAGAGCACCTACTACCTGCCAGAAACTGTAATAGGTATTGGATTTGTGGCAGAGAGCAAAGTAAGTACCAGATTTCCCCTCAGGACACTTAAAGTGTAGTGGGAAAAATAGATTTTAAACAATAATAATACAATAAGCGTGTAGTTACGAAATATGATAAAGGCCATGAAGGTAAAGTATGAGAGCACAGACCAGAAAAGACTAATTGTTATTGCAGAGTCTGGACGGCCACTTTGGACAGGGGTCCTTTGAGCGCAGGAAGGAATGTTAAGTAGGAGTCAGCCTAGCAAAGAGCAAGACTAGGAAGCAGTAAGTACTAAAGTTCCTACAGCTAGAAGGTCACTAATGTGTTTTGAGGGCTGCAGAAATATCAATTGGCTGAGAAAAGTGAGAAGAGAAAAGCGGAGATATAAAAATAGAAAGAAAGGCAGGGCCAAGTGAGTTGGAGTCTTGTGGGGCAAGGTGCAGGACTGAGGTTTTTTTTGTTTTTTTTTTGTTTTTTTTGAGACAGAGTCTCACTTTATTGCCCTCAGTAGAGTGCTATGGTATCACAGCTCACAGCAGCCTCAAACTCTTGGGTTCAAACGATTCTCTTGCCTCAGCCTCCCAAGTAGCTGGGACTACAGGTGCCTGCCACAACACTCAGCTGTTTTTTTTTTTTGTTGTTGTTGTTGTTAGCAGGCTGAGGCTGGGGTCGAACCTACCAGGAGCATGTGGTCGACACCTGAGCCACTGAGCTACGGGCGCTGCCAGGACCAGGTACTTTATCTTAAGGGCAAGGAGAACCCACTAAAAATTTTAAGCAAGAGATGGACATAAATTTATTATTTTAAATGATTACTCTCACCAGTGTGTGAATAGATCAAAAGGAACAGATGTGGTGGCAGGAAATGCAATTTCTTGGGCATTACAACAGTCCAGGCCAGTGGACCAGGTGAGGGTAACAAAAATGGATAAGTCCCAGGTGCACTGGGGTTGTTTCCCTTTTCTTCCATCTCTGCTTGCTGCCAGGCCTGTCTTTTGTTGGTTACAGCCCCAACAACCACACATAGAACAACAACAACACTCCAAATGACAACCATGCACCCAACTACAACTACGGTCCCAGCTACCACCCCGCGCCCAGCTACCACCCCGCGCCCAACCACCACTCCACGTGTGACGACAACCACAGCTGTGCTTTCAACAACAGTCATGACTACACCTGACCTCACAACCAGAGCACCATTTCAGAGAAGAACCACCGCTGTGCTCACAGCAACAGCCAACACATGCTCTCTGGCGACCTCCAGCTTCCTTCCAGAGACAGCCACAGAAGGGCCCTTCTTTACAGCAGGTATACAGTACAATTGCTCATTCTTTCCCTTCTGGTCAGATTTATCTTGGGTTTCTTAGAACAGTGAGGTTCTCTCCCTGACTGGGGCAGCCCAGCAACTTGCTCACATGTGTGAAAGTGTGCATGAGTGTTTGTGTGTTAGTTTGCGAGGCCTCTCATAATAAACACCAGAGACTGAGGAGTTTAAACAACAGAAATTATATTCTCCCAGCTAGGGTGCTAGACATCCAAGGTCAAGGTGTCAGCAGAGCTAATTTATCCTAAGTATTTTTTCCCTGCTTTGGCTTGCAGTTGGTAGTCTTCTCCCCGTGTCTTCACATGGCCTTCCCTGTGTCTGTCCTTCTGTATCCTAATCTCTTTTAAGGATACCAGTCACATCGGATTACAGTCTATCAGTTTGACTTCCTTTTACCTTAATTACCTCCTTAAAGGCCATAACTTGATGAATATCCACATTCTGATGTACGCGGGCATTGGGACTTTAACATATGAATTTTGGGGACACAATTCAGTGTATAACTGTGTGTACGTGTGTGGTGTATGTGAGGATGTGGTTTCACTGAACTATTCCTTTTTTTATGGTTTCTCTCTTTTTCTTTTTTCCATTTTTTTTCCCCCAAAAGTCAGCATTTTGGGTTCTGTGGTTAAGTTCCCAGGAGTCTTTCAGGAGATGCTTAGGGAAGAACCAGGAAAGGTCACTCTGGGTCAGACTCCAGTTCCATTTTTTCAGGGGTTAAGTCCGCCTGGGCATTAGCGATTAGTTGAGGATGCTTTAAAATATCCCTTGGGAATAAACTAGTTTTTCTCCTTGTTTTTTTCTTTTCTTCTTTCTTCTTATCCTGAAATTCTTCCTGACTGCACTAGTCACTGAGTGACTAGCTCCATTGCTCAGGGGTCTTGCCAGGCTCCTACTGCTTCAAGCTCTGATTCTGAGGCAAAAATCTGGGAAGCCTGCATGAGATCCCTTGAAAGTCTTTTTAGACATTTCAACCACCTCTGTAAAGCCTGGATAATTCAAAGAGTGTTACAAAGTTGAATTGGCCGATTTTATTATCCTCTGAGTAATCACCAAAAATCCATGAACCCTAAACCAATAAATTTTTGCACGTGTTTTTCATTCCTCTGAGCTTTAAAATGACCATCTTAAAACATAACATTTGTACTTTCTATTCCTTGATTCTAAAAATTACTTGCAATCCTTGAAGAAAATAGAGAAAGAGAAATATAGAAAGAAGCACAAAGACAATTATAAAAGTAGCCCTGAGTGTGGTGGTGGCATGTGCCTGTAGACCCAGCTACTCAGGAGGCTGAGGCAGGATTGTTGGAGCCCAGGAGTTCAAGTCAAGCCTGGGTAACATAGAGAGATCCAGTCTTTAAAAACAATTACCCCCCCTCCCTAAACACAGCAATGCTGTTATTTTTTAGCTGCCTCTTATCAAGCTTTTTTCTCTTCCAGAGTCAGAAACCATCCGCTCCAGTGACACGTGGAAAAGCGCTGAGTCTACTGCAGACACTGCCCTGATCACAACCAAAAGTATGTGTGTGGATTGATGAGAAGGAAATGTTGAATAAAAGTGTTGTTAAATTTCAGATGCCTAGAGACATCCTTGGGTCTTTTGGGCTATGAAACCCACCTCAGGCAAATTAGCATTGGAACAGCATTTGTGATCTGTTTATTACTATATTCCTATGTCTCCTTCAGAGAGAGAAGGAGAGAGAGAGAGTGAACGAGCTCAAACTCTTTCTTGATTCATGCTATTATCCATGGCAAGCATCTGGAGCATATCTCTAGCATGTTTGCCTTTATACTCAAGGCTAGGTGACACATAGCTGTCTCATTCTAATTTTATGTACACCAATGTTTGTTAAAATTCCTGGGGGGTGAACTTGTTCAATGCATTAGCTTTTTATACTGGAAGAATTTGTTCCTTTTTTTGACCTTTCATCTACCTATCAACACTTCTTGGTATTTATTGGAGCCCAGGGGTAGAGAGTACCCAAACAAAAGACAGGATTTGCATCCTTGGGGGTTCTAGATCCCAGTTCTACTACTTTTTACTCCAAGTTCATGGTTGGGATTTATTCCTAGGTTTGTGACAGAGTTGTATTAACTTCATGCATGTAAAGGACTTAGTTGAGTGACTAATTAGTAAGCCCTTACTTAAATGGTAGCTTTTACCTTAACTCTAGCAAAAGAAAGCAGACATCTGTAGGGTAAGTAAATCAGTGCTGGTCATAGTACAGTACAGGGAGGCAGTCTGGGGGTGGGGTGTGATTTGTGTGTGGGCTCTAGCTTCCTACTGCTTAAGCACAAATCCTGCCTCTTACTTGCCCTGTGACTTTAGGAAAGCTACTTAATCTCTCTGAGCTTTAGTTTCCTCATTGGTAAGATGAGAATAAGAATAACATTTATCCTGCGGCTCTTTCTGAAGATTAAATAAGAAAATGCACATAAATCACTTAGAACAATGTCTGGCACATGATACATGCTCACTAGACATTAGTTCTTCTTCTTTTATGATAGAAGTTGGTATAGGGGACAGAAAGTCACTAAAAGCAAGAAGACAGGTATTTACTTGTCTGTTTTCTCTTTTTGTTTTCCAAAGAATCTGAAGCTTGGGATTTCCTGTCAACTCCCCAACAGGACTCAATATCGAAAATGAGTGATGTAACTTCATCTCAGCCTAGAGGTAAGAGGCTATATTCTTTTATTTTTTAAAATTTCAGATTGATATAAGGGTACAAATAATTAAGTTACATTGTTGGGCAAAGTCCAAGTTGTAGTTGAGCACTTCACCCAGGAGGTGTGCCATATACCCGTACATTGGGCCTGTTAGGTGAGATCATGTGAAACCCCCTCTCTCCTCGCTTCCCCCTCCCCCTTACTTGCATGTAGTTATGCTTTTTTCCTGTGTGGGTGTATAGTTGTTCATCTACTGGCTTCATATTAGTATTGAGTACAGTGGATACTTGCTTTTTCATTCTTGTAAAACTTAGGGGTATGTTCTCCAAATCCATCCAAGTGAAACAAAAGATGTAAAGTCTCCATCACTTTTTATGGCTGAATAGTATTCCATGGCATACATACACCATAATTTATTTATTCATTTGTCAGTTGATGGCATTTGGGTTGATTCCACATCTTGGCAATTATGAATTGAGCAATGACAAACTTTCTAGTGTGTATGTCCTTATGGTAAAATGATTTTTTTCTTCCTTCTGGGTAGATGCCTACTAATGGGATTGCAGAGTCAAATGGAAGGTCTACTTTTAGCTCTTTGAGTATTCTCCATACTTCTTTCCAAAAAGATGATATTAGTTTGCAGTCCCACCAATAGTGTTATAAGTGTTCCCTTCTCTCCACACCAGCATCTGTAGCTTTGGAATTTTATAAGATGGGCTACTCAGTGGTCAACAAACACATGAAAAAATGCTCATCATTCCTAATCATCAGGGACATGCAAATCAAAACCACCTTGAGATATCACCTAACCCCAGGAAGGTTATAGGTGGTTTATCTTTGGCTGCAGAAACAGTTTGTCACCTGCTTGTCACCTGCTTGTCTTGGGCTTCTGTTTTGGTTCCTGCATGGCCACATTCCTCATCCTCCTGCATGCTGGGATGAGAGAGAAACATGCTACAAGCATCAGTGCTGGCTTCGCCCCTCCTCTGCTCATCTTTGAAGCCCCTTTGTTGAGGTATTCCTTTTCATTAACAATTTCTGACATGAAGCCAGAAATGGTAGTATGAAAAAAAATTACCTAATAATTTTTACAAACTATTGTTTATTTATTTTAAATTATACAAACATTATACTTATGTACTTTTGTTGGGGGTACACAAGAATGGATAGAAATAAAATTCTCTTTAACTCCCTGTCCTCAATCCCAGCCCCCTCCATTATATAGTTGAAGTTTATCATTCTAGATTTTTTTTCCCATACCCTTATATCTGTATCAATAAAGAAATTAAAGGGTTTACTTATAGAAATAATTTTGTTTTGTGTATTTTTAAAAAATATTCTGTTCGCAGCCTTCTGCATTTCTTAATTCACTTAACATTATACATTGGACTTTCTTTTTCAGAATGTGTAGATCTGCTGGTTAAACTGCTATATAATATTTCGTACTATGGAAACTTCTGGTACCTATTGCCTATGGAGGGGAATTTAGGTTGTTCCAATGTTCGATTATTATGAACAGTGCTACAGTGAACATCCTTGCACATGAGTGCCTCACTGAGCACTTATGCAAGTGTTTCTATAATTAGGGTGCTGACCAAGAAATAGAAATGCTAGGTTAAAATAATGTGCACTTTTAAGTTTAGTAGCTTTTAGGAAAATGTCCTCACAAAGGCTGTGCCTATTTATCTTTCCATTCACAGAAAAATAATTTGTTTAATTTATTTCAGTTTCCTACAAAGAAAATGTGACTTTTTTATTATTTAAGGTTAATGTGAGGGTGCAAACAACCAAATCACAATATTTAAATTTGTTAGGTATAGTCTCTTTTGTAGTTATGTCCTGCACCAAAAAGGTGTGCCATACACCCCTACAATGTGCTCATTCATGGGAGCAGCCTAACAACCCCCTTTGTCCCCCCTCTCCCCAACTTGAATCAAAATGAAGTTCTTTCCTATGTGGGAGTGAATTAGATTATCTACTGGCTTCATATTAATACTGAGTATATTGGATATTTGCTTTTCTATTATTGTGATACTTTATTGAGAAGAATATGTTTCAACTCCTTCCAGGTTAATACAAAAGATGTGAAGTCACCATCTTTTTTATAACTGAATAGTATTCCATGGTATGTATATACCAAGGTTTGTTAATCCATTCTTGAATTGATGGGCATTTAGGTTGTTTCCCTGTCTTGGTGATTATAAATTGAGCTGTGATAAACGATCTAGTGCATATGTCCTTATAATGAAATAACTTTTTGTTTTGGGTAGATGCCTATCAGTGGGGTCACAGAGTCAAACAGGAGATATAATTTGAATTTTTTTTTTCCAACAGCAAGATAGGATTTTTATTAGAAGTTAGAAAGGAATACAGAAGAAGGAAAAGGCACAAGAGCTTCTGGCAGGGGAAAAGAAATAACTAACTGGGGAGTCTCTATGTCAGCTGCTTTATTTAGAGGTATTAGGTCTTGAGAATTACACTTGGCCAGGACTTAAATTCTTTAAAGATTCTTCATACTTCTTTCCAAAGAGGTTGTATTAGTTTGCAGTTCCACCAACAGTGTAAAAGTGTTTTCCTCTCTCCATGTCCATGCCAGCATCTGCAACTTTGGGAATATGTTATGTGGGCTAATATTACTGGAATTAGGTGATATCTCAGGGTGGTTTTGATTTACATTTCTCTGACAAAGTATTCTTGAAAGAAAAATTTATCACATTATATCCCTACATCTGAAAACCAGAAAGAAAGTACATGAACAAACTAATGAATCATCTTAAGGAAATAAAGAAGGAAAAACAATCTAATCCAAATCTAGCAGAAGAAAAAAAATAACCAAAATTAAGCCAGAAATTAATAAAATTGAAAACAAAAGAATCATTCAGAAAATTAATAAAACAAAGTTGGTTCTTTGAAAAAATAAATAAAATCAATAAAACCATTGGCCAAATTAACTAGAAAGAGAAAAGTAAAATCTCTAATAACCTCAATCAGACATAAAATGGGGGAAATAACAGACAGTCACAGAGATACAAGATATTTCTGACTACTACAAGAAACTCTGTGCCCAGAAATTTGACAATATGAAGGAAATGGACCAATACCTTCTCCCCACACCTAGGTCTTTTTGTATTCTGATTAGCAGAGAGTTTGGGTGCCTTTCTATATGTCTATTAGCCAGGAAAGAATGGTCCTTTAATGCTGTGAAGGAGGCAGCTAACACTACTTGCAAAAGCTTAGAAGATAGAATTGTCAGGAACAGACAAGAGTGAGGGAGCAAGGATAGTTTTGAAGTCAAACTTAAGTCAAACTTAAGTCAAAATGAAAAGCCAGGGTGATCTGAAGTTAAAAAGTTTCACAGGCACTAAATCATATCATGGGAAAGAGACAATCTGAAGAAGTAGTTAATAACATAAGGGAAACTGGGTGCCAAAGATCCCAGTCCTCTTTTGTTCATGGGATATGGCAAGAGTGGAGAGCTATTTTCTCACAGAATAGAAGACAGTGACTGGAAAGGTAATAGAGGATGGGTTGAGCATTCTAAAATAATTTCTTTTATTCTATTCAAATCATGGACTATTTTACATTGAATTATGAGGGAACAAGAAGTCATCTTATATTTTACTTTCTTCTCTAATATCCCTGATATTGTCATTTGATCAAATCCCCGCCTACAATAGCTGTGGGCTGTGCTGCTGGAAGAGTGCTTGGTGTAAGAAGGCCAGTAAGATCTCCATGTAGCATGTAGCCATTAGGAAAGCAACCAGGATTTACTGAACACACACTCTGTTCTGGGTCACTGTCAAACTGTTTTCATGGGTCATTTCATTTAATCCCTCTTCAGCAAATGCTCATATTCCTATCTTGCTGAATATGAGCATTTAAATGAATTAAGAAATTCAGAAGGCTGCAAATGGTCAAATGGTATGAGAAGATTTAAGACACACAGCTTTCAAGTGGAAGATCCAGCAATTTTAGCTCCGGTTTCACACTTTTATATTTCATTTTATTTTATCTAGATTTTCAGTCTGAAATTAAAAGTCATGTTCTTTTCATTTACCATCTCTTCTTCTTCTTCTTCTTCCTCCTCCTCCTCCTCCTCTTCTTCCTCCTCTTCTTCCTCCTCTTCCTCCTCCTCCTCTTCCTCCTCTTCCTCCTATTCTTCCTCTTCTTCTTCTTCCTCTTCTTCTTCTTCTTCTTCCTGTTACCCTAGGTAGAGTGCCGTGGAATGACAACTCACAGCAACCTCAAACTCTTGGGCTTAAGTGATTTTCCTGCCTCAG